CAGATATTGTTTATGGTACTTCAAGCAAGGCACGGAATAGAGTCGAATGAAATCCATTCCTTGTTGTTTCCTATCTTCATAAAACATCTCCAACAGCTTAATGAGCCACACTTGAGAGAAATAATACGCACATTAGACGAGATTGCTACAAATTTTGCTCGTTAAAGTCACATTTCATCGGAGAAAGGCTGCAAAGACTAAAGCAAATTCGGAGAGTGCGATAGTTCAATAGAATCAGCGTAAATTTTGTTGTCGAGCTTAAATAACTTGATGAATAGATTGATCAAACTTTTGTGTGATTGCTTTGGTAAATTTGTCTGAACGATAGAAGATAAGTCATGAAATTTTATATCGAGAAGAAGTCCAACATAAAGAAGACATATTATTGAAAAATCTGATTTTACAATGAACGCTTCCTGTCCCAGCACCCCACCCCCCTTTCTCAAAAGCATTCTGTTCACCTTCAAAGAATCCGTGTCATTTTCAACTAGAAAAATGTACTTGACATAACCAGTCCCCCCCTCCCAAGAATAGAAGGCCACCCTCTGTATAAGACCATATCTAGGAAAAAGCCCAAGCGCTCCAATAGAAGACCATGCATTTGATTAATATTTTTTAAAAACTCAATATTTTTAATAAATATTAATTAAAATATACCTGGTTTTCCAGGGCTTTTCGCGAAATTTCTCTCTGTGTTCTTATAAATAGTGTATTTTTCAAAAAGAGCGCACTTATTGATTGAAAAGTGGCATCAAAAAGTTAATTAATTACTGAAATTTTAAAAATATTGTTATTAATGGTTGGTCAAAAATTGACCCTCAACAGAAGGCCATCCAAAAAGTAGCGCTGTATAAGGGAATGACCTTTTATTCTGTGGGGTGGTATATTAAAATAACACTGTGAAATTTTATTTTTAGTCTGCACATGCATAATGAAGTTTTGAGTAGCTCTGCTCACTATTATCACTAACGCATTCTGGAATTATTAATCTAATTTGTGTCAATGACCTGCCAAAATACTGCAACGCATTGCATGACCTTACCACGAATTCATCTAATAAGCGGTGACCTAGGCTAAAAGCTTTCTAAAAAAAGTAATTAATTACCTCATACAAAAAACACTTTTAACCGAAAGAAAATGAACGTATTTACCTTGAATGTTTATTTTAAATCACATAGTGAATAGCAACAAAGGAAAAAAACAAAGCAAACAACTCGATGTTCTTCGTTCGCATTATATGCATGCTCTTAATGAAATAAAATTTCAAAATGTCACTTTAAAGTATACAAAGTGTATTTTTCTCTTGTGAATGACAGATGTTTTATTCTGAGTTTCGTTTATTTTGTATCGATCCTTGTGGACCTTCGTCCATATCTACAACTTTTCTTAAATAGTTTCGATAGCATCTGTAATCACATGTTTTACTTGTTTTCCCATGTCTGACAATGTCTCAGTAGAAACATTTTCTTCATTTTCACGGATTTAAATGAGAATAGAATATTTTGACGATTATTTAGTTCTTCTTTCTTCTCAGTTGTGATCTGAAATCGACAAAAGAAACATTAATCCGTGTATCATATGAGAAACAACTATTCTTAGCGATTCCGAGAAAGAATCTGTATGCATCTGTCAGCACTTTAATTAATAAATGCTTAAATGACTGTTCAGGATTGTCCTGAAATGTAAAGAGAGCACGCGAATACCTGATAAAATCGGCCCATGTCTGAATTTCATTGACTAATCAAAGGCTAGATGTAGAATGAAGAGCGAAATATTTTTATGTGCTTACTAGGCCTTACAACCACTCTCAGAAAAAAATTGGTCAAATCAAATTTGATTAAGCTTCTATTCCGTCTGATATATATTATAGATCGTATTAGGGATCTTCCTCTCTTGTTTCACGATTTCTCACAACTAGTGTGCAAATTTCTAGAGCTACAATTATGATATATGTAACACAGAGAAAAATTGTTCTAGGGCGCTTTGACATTAGAAATATCTCTCGAAAGCCGTGACATGTGGATCACTTGTTCAACGGTGACTATTCTATGATCGACATTTCTCATCCGGTCACTACGGTAAATGTACCATTCGGAAACACTTCATAACATGGTAATTGATCGAAAAAGTAAAGGAGTTCTGGTGTTTGAAAAGCGTTTGAAAGGTAGAGATAAAGATAAAGGTCAAAGTGCTGTTTACTTAAGCCGGTCAACTTGTAATGATGTTCATCCGTTAAATTCGTCATGTCATCAAAATTAAAGCATGTTTTATTTCTCATCATAATCGTGACGTTTGAGAACAATCCGAGAATATCACCGTGAGACAAGGAAAGTTTTTAGATAGAATGAGGGCGACGTTCATCAATGGCTTCAAGCGTTAAACTATGTACCGTTAGTTGGACAAGTCCACATACAGTTCTGAAGTAAAAGGCGCCGCCAATTCAAAACTAAATCTTTGTCAAATATCGAAAGCAGAAACAAAACGCTTCTCCACCGCATACAATTACTATTACATAACAAAGCAAAGGTGAAGTAGTATTCTAGTGAATGATCTTGAATCTTTAACGGGGCTTTTGTAACGAAGTCTGTGTATACTTTTACGGTAAAATGGTTGAAGATTAATGTCCTCTAACAGGGCTTTCGTAACAGTCTTTTACAGGGCTTTTGTAACGAAGTGTATATTTACTTTTCAAGTTGAAATGATGTGTGATTGTAGGCATACTATGTCTGTCGATTTTCTCTTTCAATTCACAATAAGAAGTAGCATTCGTTACGAAAGCCCTGTACAGCATTATTATTTATACCGTGGATAAAAAGTACATATAGATTCCATTACGAAAGCCCTATCAGAACATCCACTAGAGATTAGTCCTTTGCATTATCGTTACGAAAGCCCTGTTAGTGATCTTAGTGACTGACTATCTCATAGAGAGGATACGACCCGATTAATAGTGTTAAGAAGGCACTGTAAAAAAAGAGGGGTTTGGATGGAACGCCATGGGGGATCAAAAGACTATCCTGTGTCATTCTGGCACTGCACAGTGTGCATCTTCTATAGAGCAGGCAGCCATGTAATTTTTATTGTCGGAAATCGTCTCTTTTCGCATAAAACTGATCTCTGCGTACCCAGAAACTCATATAAATTAAAAACAAACAAATTCTAAGAAAAATGCTTTTTCAGCCCAAAACACCTGTCCTAAAATTTCCTTGAAAACATTTTTCCTCGAAAATTAGATATTTTATACACTGTTCGATACAGTTAGTGCGGCCATTTCAAATATGATCTTATTTTGGAATAAAAATGCTCATGAGCCGAGATAAATGAAAAATCAGTTATATGGCCCAGGAATATTTATTCTAATTTATGCTGTCTGTGGTGATAAAGAGCATATAGGACTTCTGGTTTTGACGCCTATTTGTTCGCCCGTTACATTTACGTGCATGACCTTTTCTTTCTGAGTTCTTTCGTACTATTAGCCATCATTTTATTTTCTATCTACACTGTTGATGGAAAAGGTGAATCTTACGGCAAGATAGGTCTCGATCTACTAACGTTTGATAATATTTCACCGCGTCATTCTTCACGTTATGTCGCTCCGTTAGTGCTTGCTTATATTTTCATCGGAGCATTTCTTTACCTCCTATACGCCGAGATGAAAACTTTCGTTGAAAAACGTCAAGCACTGCTGAGAGGTTCTGCCTATCAATCTCGCGCTAGTGCGACAACTATTCTGGTGACTGGAATACCTAAATCTTACATGTCACAGGCTGTTCTCTTACAAATCTTCGATCAATTTCCGATGGAAGTGCGATACATCTGGCTCAATCGAAATCTTGAAGATCTGCTTGACAAAGCGGACAAACGCACATAATTCGTAGAAAAACTGGAGACAATCGAATGTAAATTGATCAAAGCTGCACTGAAAAAAGAGGCCAAACGCCAGAAAAATGCTAATACGAACGTGCATTGAATAGAGAATGACGAAGGCATCTTCGATAAGTATATTCCGCAAAAGAAATGACCAACGATGAAGTTTGGGTTTAGTTCAGTGCTTTCTTCTTTGTGTTTCGGCAAAAAGGTCGACACGATTACCTACTACAAAGAGGCCATTTCTCAACTCAACACTGTCATTGAACATTCGGATACACCGATCGTACAGGACGATGAAATACCGATGATAGAGCTGTTAAAGTGAGAACACTTGTATACTCTCCATTATTTATGATCCGTAATACATGATCTTCGACAGATTCATCATCAACAAGGTCAAGCCCTAAATCATTGATCATAGTTGTATAATACTGGTCATGTAAATACAACTCTTGAATACATCTGAATCGAATTTCATCAATGCTAACATTAGGATAAAACGTTTAACAAGAATGGTATAACCAATCTCCATCTCCAGCAGCGTCTATTGGAACTGCATCACGGTTTAAAATATCTGTGTAATTTTCCAATAGATATCGTGCCCTTGTGTCCAGCTTATGAATTTCTTCATCGTATAACAGTTGTGGATTTTGCGGAAATTCGTAATTGTCCGCTACGTTAGCTATGTTAACACATTTAGCCTTGACTTGCTCAAAGCTTCCAACTTCATCTCTTAATCTCGTAAGAGCTAGAAGAAAAAAATCTGCTCGACTCTCTGAAAAGCACTCACGGCAAACTGCTGAATTATTTGTTCGACGTTCCCATATAGCGCACGTTAATCGGCTACCAGCCTGAAGAACGTTCATATTTTTCGTTCACTTCAGAGTGAGCGAAAAAGAATAAAATATATTTCATAACTGTATGCTCCCTTCACTACCGAATTCTATTGAATACTGCGTGTTTTTTTATTCCTAAAACAAATGATGTGTACGTGCTGGAATTCGTCCTTATCACGTTTGTTTCAAGAATACGATATCAAGAAAAGAAAAAAGAGAAATGATAACTGCTTGTTCTAAATTTTTGGCTTTTTTTTACACAGAATTTCGCAGATAAAAAGTGTGAAAAGGTTCACCGTTATTAATTCACCACTGTATTACGACGAAGATGTTACAAACTACGCTACTGTTAATGGAATCAATATTGATTTGAGTGAAACGAAATACCTTGCAATAACCAAGCGTCATGGCAAATTCAAATTTGAAGCTGTCACCGATATTCGTGTCCCAAAAAACACTATTGGACTTAATTCTCGACAAAGAAAGCGTGATCGGCTTAAATTATACCATACATATAACGTTAAACCATCAGTTAAACAGCATTCTATTGTTGATCTGTTTGATCAAAAGTACAGCTTTAGAGCCAAAATTGGTGGTGAAGACAAGATGTTTGAAAAAATATTTGGTGAAGCGCTGCTATCCAGATTTTATCCGAAGAATTTTGTGCAACGAACCAATATGAAACATGTCAAAGGAATTCTGTTATATGGAGTACCAGGAACTGGAAAAACATTGATCGCTCGAACGATGAGTGAAATATTAAGTGTGCTGCCAAAAGTAATTAATGGACCAGAAATCTTGAGTAAAATGCTCGGCAATTCTAAGGCTAAAATACGTCAGTTATTTGATGAAGCAAAGTCCGACCCCGATGGAAATCTTCATCTTTTAATATTCGAAGAAATCGATGCTGTTTGCAAGCGACGATCAGGAGACGAAGCTAATGTACATGATTCCGTTGAGAACAATATTACTTCTCAGCTTTTATGTAAAATGGATGGGTGGCATCAGTTGAACAATCTTTTAATAATAGCCACGATAAACCGACCTAATGCAATTGATCCCGCTCTCCTACGACCTGGTCGTCTAGAAATTCATATTAAAATTGAACCTCCCAACGACGAAGCACGTCTTAGTATTTTTGACATATACACAAAATCGCTGCTTCAAAATAATCTGTTACATCATGATGTTAACCTAGATCGAATTATTCACCAAACTCAAGGTTGGACGGGGGGCACATATTGAACGGCTCGTTAGAACCGCCAACATTTGCGCCATGAAGCGAGATCTAGTAGATGGTGGGACGCTTAAAATTGGCGAATCAGCTGCTGATGAGTTAAGAGTGTGTAATGCGGATTTCATCACTGCAATAAACGTTATCCAATCCATATCTCTCAGTCTCTGAACTGAGAAAAACCTGTAATACTTTCAAAATATTTTAGCGCGTATCACACACTTTTACATCGCCTACATTTGTGATGTTCTATTCTCGATTCATCGAGTCCAAAATTGTTTTTTTCGCTGAATAAATCATTTTTATAATTCACAAATATAATACAAATAATCAGGAGCTTTGAATTTGTATACAGAGATGTGTTGTGAGGTGGATATCAAAATAAAAAAGTTTTAACTTACCGCTTTAAGTGATGTTGCTCGGAAAAAGTACGTGATGAAGGGTGTAAGCTCTAAATATGTGATATACGTACGTTTCTATAGGTAACTCAACGTGCTAAATACTATGGAGAGGATCAGAAGGTGCAAATACCCGTCCATTTGGGTGTTGGTGGTAGTATTTCGTGCAGGGTACCTCAGGCTTAGGTTCAACTGGGTGTTGGTGTAGGATTGTTTGACGCGCTCTATCGATCTAGAATAGTCTCGACAAGTTTGGAGGTGTTGATGAGTGATGGCGTCTTTTACAAATACCCGCTCACTTATCACAAAAAGTTCATTGTGTTTTGTTTTCTTATGCCGTTTTATCTTGCAAAGAATTTTCAAATTAACAGTTGTTTGTTCTATCTTCAATCTGGTCTTGAGTTTCTTCTGCTAAAACGTTGAATGTAAAAGTTTTCTTCTATTTCATGTTGTAGAGAAGCCTATGGACTGCTAAGTTCAAATTCCTGAAGGTTCCGAAGTTTTGTTGCTGCTTAGATCAAACAATATACAATACTCTGTTTGCAGACACTTTTTCATTTTTTTATCGAGTTATGTATTCAGTAATGTATCTGAGCAAAGAGTAATGCCAACTTTTATCAAAAAAAGGCAATCGATAGCTCAATGCTATACACAAATTTGGTAAAGAAGTTGTTTTAACGTTCATTCGATAGGATAAGAGAGCCAAACTTTTTGAAAATTTATTCGTTTTATTGCTAAATATCAGGTCAGATGTTCGATTTAGGAGTGAATAAAGTAATAAAAAGTCAATATAAATGAAACCTGTTTTAATAAATTCGTTAAATCTTTTACAGATCTACGTCGGCGTTGCACACATTTACTTAAGGCAGAAAGATCCTTCACAAACATGGTCTTTTGCAGCCAAACGAAGGTAGCGCAACAATTCATCATTATTTTCATTTTTCTTCAAAATAAACAAAAACAATCAGGATTTGACACTTTTAACATTTGTTGCACATCACAAGCTCTATCGCTGGTAAACATCTAGATGGAATCCGATTATTTATTCATGAATTATAGCAAAAACAAAATGTAATTGGACATTTAGTGTCTTCAGTTGAAAAGAGTAAATTCTAAGTTTCTCATAAAAAGTGTTTTATCATTAAGTGACAAACTTTTATTCAACCGCTGCCAAGTTGATGACTATCCAGCATTGTTGTCATCAGGAGAGCTAGACGCTACCCTAGGAAACCGAACTTACGGTAATTCTATAGAAATCTTATAAAAATCTTATATAGGGTAGTCGATGAAAATGGGTAAGATATTGATAAGATTCTTATAAGAAGGAATATAAGAATCTTATAAGATTCTGATAAGGATTCGGTAAGATAGATTATATAATTAGTCTAGAAGAGTTCATAAGATTTTCATAAGTTAACATACGAACTGTTATTTACATCAATTAAAGCGTTTGACTATATGCAAACTAAATGGGTAACCCTGCATCATATAGGATCCTACGAAACACATGAATTCGTTTAGGAACCTATCAAATGATATGAATATAGAATTACTAGAATTTTGTTAGAATTATATTGAGAGAGATTTACATTTTGCTAGGTCATCTCATTAAAACGTTTTTCGAAGTTACATTTTCTGTTGCGATCAATCAAGAAATTCTTTTCTTTGGCCACAGGTTATTGAATGATGAGTCATGTTAGTACTTGTACATGAAGTTCTTTTATGATTGCTTCTAGTGCTTTGTTAAGACAGTTATAAAAAGAGTTTTGATACACATTAGTAGTATTCGAGCCGCTCTATTTTCTACCACTTAGCGTTTCCGAACTGAATCTGATCTTTATCGAAAAAAAGGATCTGAAGTAGCGCATTTTTCTAGAGATCGGTTTGAAAAGCGGGATTTATGCAAACCAGCAACTTGTCATGCCCTGCATTCTCGTCTCACATATTTTTATTTCTCGAACTTCATTTTCTTCCTATAGTCATGATAGATTTGGGGAAGTAAATCCCGTCTAGAAGCAGTAGATATACGGTATATTAATTTATTATTACACTTATCTGGCATATGGAAGCTTCTAATCGATCATGTCCAGTACTGAACGTCATCGACGTCCAAACCAACATTGACCTTAATCCCGATTCTTTTTGGTGAGCGAGACACTTCATCTAGTATCGAGGAAGGTGTTAAGTAGTAGTCTTCCTTTCTACGTAGCACTTTTGTTGTCCTCATTTTATCCTTTTCACGTCATATGTTATGTTGAATCTACAAAAGATGCGCATGATGAAAGTTGCGCACAGAATGATGTGCACGAGAAAATTGCGCACGGCGAAAGTTACGCACGTGACGGGAACGTATAAGGTCAGAAGTCGGCCCACTCTCTTTTTCGAGTAAAAATGGCTTCCTATCAAAACCGCCGCAGTATTCAATCCCAGATGAAATAAGATACATTTCTTCACTAAAACCCTGTTATTTCTCGACAATACCATTCACAACGGTAACCTCCAAACCAGACCTACACGATCAGTAAACGCTACTTCTCTCATCCTTTCTACGCTCATGGAGACTAACAAAACACATGAATCGATAGCCCTTGAAATTCTCTACAAACTGAGTGAGCTAAAATACCTTGACAGATTAAGCTACTCATCACAGACATCCAAAAGAAACGTTTGGTAACCAAAAACACCAGTACCGCACTGCTTTAGTCACATTTTCTCCGAAAACAAACACTATACACTTTTACATAATACATCGTTCGATAGCCCTTGAAATTCTCCACAAACTGCGACAGTCATAACGTCTTGATTGGATGGGCCAGGCCGCACAGACATGGAAAAGAAACGTTCGACTACCGAAAACACCACTACATCACTCTTTTAATCAAGAGTTTCTGGAAAAAAGAAAAATTATACTCTTCTAGATAATATACTGTTCGACAGCCCCTGAAATTCGCTACAGATTGAGATAGTCAGAATGTCTTGATCGCCTGGGCTAGTCTGCACAGACATTCAAAAGAAGCGTTTGGGTACCGAAAACACGGCTATAGCTATTTTCCCCAAGATTTTCTCGGGAAACGAAAAATTATATTCTTCTCTATAATATGCCGTTTGATAGCTCGTGAAAATCTCTACAAACTGAGCTGGTCAGAATATCTAGACTCCTGGGGTCAATCATTAAAGATATGCAAAACAAGCCTTTGGCTTTTATTTATGCACTAAAGCGTGTCCTAATCATAACAACTCCTTTCTTTTCGATTTTTTCCGTAAAAGCTGGAACAATTCAGAACACTGTTTTGCATAGCTGGAAGATTTTTCTATCAGATAAGATCCATATCGTCTTTTTATGAGAAAACTTGATAATAGGGTTTCTGGAAAACCTCACCGCTGGAAAACCAAGTCTTTGGTTTTTTCTCCGAAAGCTTTTCAAATCTTACAGCTGATAGAGCGAAGAATGCTGGGTAAAGTGATATATCTCCCGGCTGTAGTTAATATTCTTTCGTCCAACTGCAGTCGATTTACGAATGGCTCCAAAGGGCATGAAAATTATCATAACATACCGATGGACAGGCGTTATAACTTTTCATGCTAGTTCTTATTCGAATCGGGACAGACACTTTACTGTCATAGTTTAGAAAAAAAGAATTTTTTTCATCATGGTTCGTAAACACACTATATCGAACATTATTACGATTTAGAGCCAACAAGCGAATAAAAATTAATTTTTACACTATATCGGACAAATGATCTTAGAAATCACACAAAATATTTGTTTAAATGTGATGAAAACAATTGTACATATTTTTTAAAAGTATCTGTTTTTAGTGATAAAAAAACTTCACCTGTTGATCATTGTTCTACACATATTCGCAATCATGCAAAGAAAGATCATGCTAAAAACGTCTAATGTGTGTATTATTTCTCTCAAGTGTGGCTCATTAAGCTGTTGGAGATGTTTTATGAAGATAGGAAACAACAAGGAATGGATTTCATTCGACTCTATTCCGTGCCTTGCTTGAAGTACCATAAACAATATCTG